AGTGGCTGGATATGGAGCAGCCAAGACTTAACGGCTTTGCGGAAGGCCAGGAGGGTAGTAAGGGTCCGGATCTCCCCGGGGAGGACATTCCAAAGGGCTGGAGCTGCAGCAGAGAAGGCTCTCCCCTGGGGAGCCGCCAGCCGACATTGGCTGGCAGATGGAATCCGGAGGAGACCTAACCTGTGAGATCTGATCGGTCTATGGGAGGTAATCGGCAGGAGGCGGTCTCTCAGGTTGGGGGACTGAGAATCCCCACAGGTGAGGGCCAAAGAGATGCTCCTTATTCGGAGATCGGGCAGCAACGATTAGGTAAAAAGCCTGATTTGAACGGCCATCAAAATCCCTTTAAGGAGGCAACGTTAGCTTCTCATCTAATTACTATTGGGGACCCTTTCCCGCAGTGGGCCAAAGCGGTCCAAGGCATTCTGGGAAAGTCCCGCCTCCCCACCCCCGAAGCATCAGATGTGGGGACGCCGACGGTCTCAGCCAGCTGATTTGGGGCGTCGTTTTAGGTTTTGGGGAATAGTGCCTCAGCGCTCCCGCCCTTTTTATTTCTTTATTTTGGCGCTCCGTCCCATAAGGGCGCCTGGCTGATGTTGCCAAGAAAAGCCCCGCGCTGAGCCCACTGACGCGCATCGCTAAGTGACTCAAACCTACGTCACCCCCGCCCAGGCAAAAGACGCGGAGCCCTCCCTGGGTGAAGAAAGCCTCTCCGAAGCGCTCACGACCCAGGCGCTCCAGGCTTCGGTTCCCAGCCTAGACAGCCACCGAGAAAGACAGAACCGGGCCGGCTGCTCCGCCGCTCACCGCTACCAGAAAGGGCTTTGCTGAACCTGCGAGAACCGCACAAGCGGCCCGAAGGACGCGAGCGGGGAGCCACCAGAGGAGAAGGGAAAGGGTCGGGCAAACGCGGCGCGGTGCGGTGCGCAGACCTGAGCAGCTGATGCGCGCGTCAGAGCCCGGAGCCTTGACGCCGCTCGCTTTCCAAGCCCCAACTCCGCTCCGTTCCCGGGCCAGTCGCTAAGCAGGTGCTCGGCTGAGGGGCTCATCTCCTTCTTCCCTCCCTCGCTTCTGGGCGTTTATTTTGTTTTTTTCGTCGCGGAGAAGTTCGTTGTGGCACAGGGGGCGACGGACGGAAACGCGGACAAGCAGCTATCCTTTACCGAGGGAAACGGGCATCTCGTGCCTTCGCCTCTCCCCAGGTAGGTAGGTAGGTAGGTAGGTAGGTAGGTAGGTAGGTGCAGATTTCTCCTCCGCGATCCCTCGCTTCTTTCCTGTTTCGCCTTCCACAGATTCTCTCCCTCAGCACAGGCAGGCTCCTCCGGCATATTCCACGCACGCTTCTCCCGGGAGATAGACGGCGGAACTCTTCTTAGTTGCTAGGCGAGAAAGCACGAGAAGATCTCGGGGAGAACCGACAGGTTGACGGTGGAAAATGGCACAAGTCCCTCGGGGAGGGGGGAGGGGCGCATCACCTGAAGCCTAAAAATAACAAGCGATGCGGAACCGAAGGAGCCGGGCCTTGGCGCGCATTCTTGCGCCGCGGGAGTAAAGCGGGAGGGAGGAGGTGTCGGCGAGCAAACGGCCCTTCCTGGAAGCCCGAGTAGAGGTCTCCGGCTTCCTCGGAAGTGCTCCGTCCCTGTGATGAAAACCCAGATTTGAAAAACGGAGGAAGGAAAGAGTGCAAAGATCATCTCTGCTCTCAGAGGTTGTATTTGACCTTGATCTTAACATTGAGAAGGGAAGGAGAAACCGGTCCACCCTCTTGAATTACAACGGGGGATGGAGCTCAAATCCTGCTGCTCAAGTTCTGCCTTCCTCCCTATTGGTGATTCATAGCAGAAGTCCAATCAATTCAGGTCCAATCAATTGAGGAGCTTAAATATGGACTGAAATGGGGGAAGGGGGAGTATTAATCTATTTGTCTTACTTTTTTAAAAAAAAATGTGCATTTGTAAAATGATTTGTTGCACCCATATTCATATTGAATCTGATGCAGAATAATTTAAGAGGCTGAAAGTTTAAAAAAATGAATTCTAATAAAACATACCCTGGTCTTAGGAATTACAAGCCTCAATGTCTTTGCTTTTTAGAAACAGAGTTAAAAAATAGAGACGTCTTCTGACTGTTCAGTAATTTTCTAAAATACAGGTCACTGTTTTATTTCTCCTATAGGCTAATAATGTCGTGCAACACATTACACAGATTAACTATCTAGCCAATTATATGTAAGTGTAATGTGTGGAAATCTAACTTGTGTGGTTAGTTTATGATTCTGTTTGTCTTCTGAATCATGTGAACACAAACATTCAGTTGGAATGGTATATATGAAGTCCTATCACATGTTTGTCTGAAATTAATCTGGAAAGCCTTTGTACTTCCTTGCTATTCCCGGTGCAAGATGGGCAATATGACTTCAGTATTGATGACGAGATAGGTAGCACTTTCACCTGCAATTCAAAATATCAAGCTAGGTTGGGGAAATGTAATAGGCCATGTAGCATCTATACTTCCGTCCTCCAACTATTTATTGTTGCGCACCATAGTCCAGGATATGCTGTCTGATGTGGTAGTTTCATTGTGTCTAAACAGAATTGGCTCTGAGTCAGAATCAAATGCTGAAGTGTGCACTTCACACTTGTGCACACTTTGTGCACTTTTTTGACCTGAATGTGTGTCAGATTCTGGTGTCCTTGTAGCTACTCAATTATATATCCTTCACACCAACATTTCCCATTTCTCACTCTATAAATTAGAAATTCTATCTACTGATTTGCCTGGACAGTGAAAACCTATGTATCAGGAATACCAAATGCCTCTTTCTCTTTCAGAATATGAATAAATGCCTTTTCTAACCTAGGCAGAGGGTACTGAGTTTGGAAAGGCTATTTTTAAAAAGTCCATCTTTAAGGGCATCTAGGCTATGCAGCCCTCTGAACAAATGAATTTCAGGGCAACATATTACTATGACATAACAACACTCTGTGTCCTGATGATTTACATACTTAAGTTGCACATTAGATAAACCTCCCTATAATAATTCAGATAGATCTGTTTTGCTGATAGTCAAATATCTTATTAGCCTGAAATCTATTTTAGCTGTTGGAAAATACTCTTTTAAAAATATTTCTTTGTCCAATTCAATGCCCTCAAGGAAATAATAGAGCTTTCATGTGATCGGGTCAGCATATCTTCCAAAGAACCCATTCATTAATATGAAAGTCAATATTTACAGGGTCTAAAAATTCTGGGACTGGTTCAGCAATTCACTCAGTGTGCTTGGACTGATTCTGTTTTGATCCAATTTCTCAAATGATCCACAGTGATGGATCACACAAGGTTCTTTGCTGGCAAGAGTGGGATGAGAGTGAGCTAAAAATGGCACAGCACTTTGCTTAGTTAAAAGTGCTCAATACATTATTAAACATACAGAAGCATTGCTGGGGGCCTGTGGGAATCATCACGTAATTCAGCAGAACCATCTCCATCTGCCTGTCTTATCTTGTCCTTCCACACAAGTGTCCTTTTTTCTTTTGGTGACTCCATGTCTTGTATCTGCAGCAGAACATTTTGGCCTACAGGAATCCTAGATCTCAGGATAGTGCTAATTATGGAATATGAGCTGGAGCATGTGGAAATATGGCTAATCCTGGGAATATTAATACATACACAATCTTTCTTTGATAAAGCATAGTTTCCAAAGTCTGCAGTGGAATTGTCTCTCTTTCAGGACCAGCTAAAAAGTCACTATAGACAAACTTATGAATTTTTTACAGCTTTTCATGGGGTAGAAATGAGGGTAAAAGGGGAAGGTGTCTTTGTGTTAAAGATTCAATATCAGCGATGTGCAAGATTTAGGATGAACTTGGAGAAAGGATGTAGACTTAGCTGGAGTATACCTTCCCAGGTACCATGCAGATTATACCTCTAGGGTATAACATCAAATAAGCGAATTGGTTCTGTGTGAAAGTATATAATTACAGTATCCAATTCTGTTTTCAGCATTAAATAAAATTCACAAGTTACATGTAATAGAAGGACAATAAAATAAAACACTATTTTTTATATCACAAAGATGGTACTTAATTTAAAATATGAAACAATGTTGGCATAGTTGGGAAGTAATAGCTAATAGAGCTAAAGCACTGGTATTTTAAATTTTACTATAATTAATCATGATTATGCTATTTTCCTGTTAAATGCCCTGATTTTAACACTTAATCCCTGCAACAGTTTTCCATAGAAAGAGCCATGTGGTTTTATACATCAGAATGCCAATTTGTTATTTGGCTTCAAGTCAAAAGTATCATTTTATAAATATAATCATAGCATTTAGTAAGTCATATGATTAGTGGCTTTTGCTGCCTTCAAATAACAGGGTCATATTGTTGAAGCTCATGAATGCTCTCTATAATACCAACAAGAAATAAATATAGATTGTGTTAGATGACTTGTCTCACTTATTCTTTTTTAGACCATTGATGTTCCTGTGGAATTTTTTAAATGAGAGATGAAGGAAAGACTTTTATAAAAGCTTCTGAGTGGGGATTGAAAGCATTCAAATATATTTTTCCAATTCACTTTAACTCATTGTTTCCCTGCTGACCCTTTTACATTATTAATTAGGCATTGGCTGTAGTCAATAAAACAGAGTAGCAGTGGAGTTGTGTAAACTGTGATACTTTCTATTTTTAGTAATACAATGATTAATTAAAAATGTGCATTTAGAATGTAAATGTGTACCTTTTAAAAAGTGTGTTTATACTTACAACAAACTTGAGGATAGGTACTTACTATTAATGTTTTACATAGAGAAGTAGGGTTGGGAAATTATGTTCTCAGGATTACCCAGTAAATTAATGACTAAGAAAAAACTTTTCCTCTGATCTTCAACGTTCTAGGTTCTCAACAAATTCCCCAAACTGGTGTCCATCAGATATGCCAAGACTACATCCCTCTAGTTCCAGATCAACATAATTGTGAACCATACTAGCTGGGAATTCTGAAGGTTATATTTCCACCATCAGTGAGTGTAACAATATTATTGTTCCTTCTTTGAAAGATATTCTGTGAAACCGCTAGTGAGATCAAGGAACTGTGTAGATGCCATGCTTTTAAAAATTGCATCAATTAAATACATTAAGAAAAAGACTTGGATATTACAATCCATTTAAGCTTGCAAAGCAGACAGATTTAATATATATGAATAATAAAAGTGAGACCATATGTCAATCACAATACATTTTATTAATATTTTAGAGAAAAATATTACAGTGCTTAGGAGTAGTCCATGGTCATGTGTTGATCAAGTAAGGAAGTGTTTAGAAGAAAATTTGTACATTTAATGTAATTTATATGATAAATTGCCTAAAGGGCTTGACTTTTGATACACTTTGTATCTTTATAACTGCATAATTTATTCTAATCTATTTAATGATGCTGAAGAGGCAAAAACAAACCATATAATTGGAAAACTATCACTCACTGCTGTGAAATGTGCTCCTGGATATTTGATCAAGGATTGTTTTTAAAGTTATCTTTTTAATCTTAAAAGGCTAGCAAAACCTTTCCTCCACTGACAGCTGAGATGTATTACTATGCCAAATTCCATGGCAATTCCTACTCATGCATTTAAGAACTGCAGGTACAACATTCATTCAATAAATACCCCTTTGTATATATTTGCTGTAAAGCAGATGTTTCACAGGCAATATCCCTAAAACATGAACATGTGAATCAAAAGTACTATACAAATTAGTACACTTTAACATGCAAAATGTAGCTATAATGGTAGGTTTATGATCTCTCCATCTATAAAAGGACTTTATAGCAGTTCTATATGTGGTGTATCCTTGAACAGCTCTCACTTATCTAAATCCGATTGTGTATCTCTAACTGGATTGTTGCTGAAATAAATAAATTGGAAAGCAGCCTAATTTTCTTTCACTGTTCAGCTTCGTTTGTTATGTCAATACTTTTGTTTCTTTGTTCTACTCCTGGTGGATATATTAATATTACTGTGGCTGTTTCGCAGTCAATACCATTAGCAAACATTTGTTTAATAGTTTTATGTAACTTGGTGGCTTTAAAATATGTTGAGTACCCCCAATCTCCAATCAAATAGGACCCTGAGTTGTTTTTGACTGCAAATCATGTTTTGACTGCAAGTTGAAATCCAGCACAATGGGAGAGTATAAAGTTGAGAAAAGTTGCATTAAAAAAAGAGGAATTATGACTGCAACTATCTCAGTGTTAGAAACTAGTCCTCAAAGTTGTACTCTTGCAGCAATTGATACTATATCTAGGATATAGAAGTAGGTACAAACCATGTAGAAAGAGGTTCTTTGTGTATATTTGCTCTACTTGATTGCAGTGGAATTATTCAGTGGAATTATTCAGAAGACAATAGCTACATGCAAATCTACACAAAGCATAGATAAACTCATGGGGAAAAGGGGGGAATTAGATTGCTTTAGTCATACTAACAATACCTACTAATTACAATAACATGCTTAGAATTCCTGTGTTACTATTTGGAGAGAAAAACAATCTTATTCTTATAAAGAAAAGCTGTCATTTTAAAGTGGAATAACAATACAATACAATACAATAGCAGAGTTGGAAAGGACCTTGGAGGTCTTCTAGTCCAACCCCCTGCCTAGGCAGGAAACCCTATACCATTTCAGA